AACAGCGTTCAGATGGGGAACAGCAGCAATGGTGTCATCAAGAAGGGTGTGGTGGTTTACATCATGGAAACTCATGCGTTTCCTCCTGCTCTGTGACGTGCAAATCCATCACTCTACACTTGTGTTTCGTTTTGTTTTGTTTTTCGCTTCTTCCGTGAAGGGCATTGCTGGTGTACTGCGTGCGCACCCCCCACCCACCGACGGAATACCCGCAGGTGGCAGGAGCAACAACAGCAAGAAAAACACCACCACCACCATCATCGTCATCAGCATTCCACGAGCATATCAGCGTGGAGGGGAGAGAGTAGAAGAGGGAAGTCTTTGTTAGCTAGTATCATTGGTTCGCCATGCTCCGTCGTGTGGGTTTCATTTCCTCGACGGCAGTGGTGCTGGAAAAGCGGCACGGCGGCCTCAAGGACCAGGACCGCATCTTCGTCAACCTATACGACGACTTCGGCACCGACATTGCCAGCGCTGAGCGGCGCGGCGACTGGTACCGCACGAAGGACCTGCTGCTGAAGGGGCAAGACTGGGTGATTGGCGAGATGAAGGCGAGCGGGCTGCGCGGCCGCGGCGGCGCGGGGTTCCCGTCCGGCCTCAAGTGGTCCTTCATGCCCAAGGTGAAGCCGGACGGGCGGCCAAGCTACCTCGTCGTGAACGGTGATGAGTCGGAGCCGGGGACGTGCAAGGACCGCGAGATCATGCGGCACGAGCCGCACAAGTTAGTGGAGGGTGCCCTCATCGCCGGCTTCGCGATGCGGGCGCGGTACGGCTACATTTACATCCGCGGCGAGTTCTACAACGAGTGGCGCAGCGTCAACCGCGCGATACAAGAGGCGTATGCGAAGGGCTACCTCGGCCGAAACGCGTGCGGCAGCGGGTACGACTTCGACCTGTACACGTACTGCGGTGCTGGCGCGTACATCTGCGGTGAGGAGACGGCGATGATCTCGAGCCTCGAGGGCGGCCCCGGCAAGCCGCGACTGAAGCCGCCGTTCCCCGCCAATGTCGGTCTCTACGGCTGCCCCACCACCGTGACGAACGTGGAGACGGTGTCGGTGGCGCCAACGATCCTGCGCCGCGGCCCGCAGTGGTTCTCCTCATTTGGCCGCAAGAACAACGCGGGGGTGAAGCTGTTCTGCATCTGCGGCCACGTGAACCGGCCGTGCACGGTGGAGGAGGAGATGAGCATTCCGCTGCGCGACCTCATCGAGCGCCACGCGGGTGGGGTGCGCGGTGGGTGGGATAACCTCCTCGCCGTCATCCCCGGCGGCTCCTCCTGCCCCCTCATCCCAAAGAGCATCTGCGACACCGTGCTCATGGACTACGACGCGCTGAAGGAGGTGCAGACAGGACTCGGCACCGCCGCGGTGATTGTGATGGACAAGTCTACCGACCTCGTCGCGGCAATTCACCGCCTCTCACAGTTCTACGCACACGAGTCGTGCGGGCAATGCACCCCCTGCCGTGAGGGTAGTCCATGGCTGGAGAAGATGATGCGGCGCTTCGTGCATGGCAATGCCAAGAAGGAGGAGATTGAAACCATCCTCGACGTATCGAAGCAGCTGGAGGGCCGCACGATCTGCGCGCTGGCAACAGCAGCGGCGTGGCCTGTGCAGGGGCTCGTGCGGCACTTCACACCAATGCTTGAGGAACGTATCGAGAAGTATTGGGAGGCAAACCCGCACTGGGGTAAGGCAGGGTCGCCGTGGCGCCGCTGGAAGACGCACCGGTATTACACGATGCAAAAGGGCGACAAGCTGAACTGGGACGGCAAGATTGTGCGCAACTGGAATTAGGAATATCATCAGCATCATCGGAAACGGCAAGAGGATAGTCTGGGGCGAGTAAAGGGGTGCGAGTGGGATGGAGGAGACTCATAGCGGTCTTCTTCAGGGTGTGCGGGGGGGATGGGGGGCCTGGATACGGGTGTGAATCTGTGGGGGGTTAGTTCATTTATTTGCTTGTGTTTTGGCAGGCGCTTTCGCCGCCTGTTGTAGGGAGCAGCAGCAGAAGCAGAGATGATGACGCGGGGAGTTTGTTTCTCTGCTGTATTTCTTTTTTTTTTT